GGGGGGGGGGGGGGGGGGGGGGAGAGAAGGGCACTTTCTGTGACTGTGCCATCAAGCTGGCCCAGGCAAGTAACCAAATGCTGCCTCAGAGTTCTTTCCAATGCAGGCGAGAGCTCTGCTTTCTGCCTTTGGAAGGGGAGAGGCAATGTGGTGACCACTCTCCCTGCTGAGAACGAGGGAAGCCTCTTACGGAGAAGCAGAAAACCAACTTCTTACGGTCAGGAAGGAAAATCCCTGTATACTATTGGTGGCAGGAAGAGGAGGGCCATCTCTGATCAGGCCTGCAGCCTGGCTTCCCTGGAAAGCCCCTTACCTTCTGCCTTTGCTGGAATTGAGGGATCTGCTCGCCGGTGGGGGAATGTCCTCCCCCAGACATCAGCTCTTCTTCCACCTGACCCATCCAGCCCGTCAGCTCTTCGTGTGTTGACTGGAACTTGGTGGCCAGCTGCCGTGCCTGCTCCAGTGTACGGAGAGCCTTTGAGCTGGCAGCGGTGATATCCGAGTAGCGGGTCTTGATGCCATCCAATTTCTCTTGGATAAGCAGCACTTCTTCCCCTGCAGAAGATCACCAAGTGTTTGGCTTGAAGAAGTCATCTAATGTGGATCCAGGGTATAGTAGGGTGCCCTCAAGCTGGCCATACAAAGCCTGACTCATTGACCATCCCACCAATACAAAATTGTGGACTTGGTTTCTGTATTTAGCAGAGTTCTCTATGGGCACATGTGTTCTGCACAGTCCCAGTTGTGGAATCTCTGGGCAGAAGAGCTGGGTGCAGGTGTGGACTGACGCAGGCAAAGCAGGGGCAGCCATTGCCTGGCATCTTTTCCTCTCCTACCTGTAGTTTGTTTCAGGAGGGCCTGCCCGTTCTTGATGGCCTGGTCAACGTGCTTCTTGCGGTTCACAATCTCATCATTCAAAGCCTACGTGAGGGAGGGGAAAAAGCCCAGACTCAGAAACCTCCCTGGAAAAGACCTGAGGGCTTTGTGAAAGACCAAAGCATGTGATTTGGGGGTTTCAAATGTTGCTCATCCTTGCTCTGTTTATCTTTACAGACTGTTCCTTTAGTACATAAATAAAGCCAGACAACTCCCACCAGAGCAAGCAAATTGAATCAGCACACAGATGAAGTCTGCCCAAGAGACTAGTGTCTACCATGCATGTGTGCATGTGCGGGGCAACAAAGAAAGATGCCCGCTGCCTATGCCAAACAGGGGAGTCTTCAGAGAACAGCCCAAGACTGAAGGCTTACGTAGGGCGGAAGGGAACACCTGGACCCCCTCCTGCCCCCAATGAAGGCCAGAGCTTCAGAAGGAAAGCCTGTTGGATCCTTCCGCTATCCAGCCTGCTAACAGAACCACTCTGTGGCTTATTGCTGTTCCAGGTAACAAATCCACCTGAATTCAGTAGGGGACACCTATCCTCACAGTACACCTTACCCCTGTAATGTACAGAAGGTGGTTCCCCAGGGACCGCCATTATCTTCCAGCTTCTTTTCTGGTCCTCCCTCAAGGCAACAGTCACCCGGGCCAGATGTCAAACCCCCCCCCTTCACTTCCCTGCAGAAACGAATGGCTGCAAAGGATGAGAGTTGCCATAGGTCTAAAACTGGCCGGGCGGGGAGAGGAAGGCGCATCAGAAGGATCAGCTTAGAGGTTCTCCACAGGGAGAAAAATAATATTTCCCTCCCATCGCTGCATCGTTCTTCTTTAAATGGAGACCCACTGGCTGACCCACTGAGCAGCGCCCCTCCTTTGCAAGAAGGCTGTCCCGGCAGGGACTCCCTCCCTCCATCCTCAGGCTTGGATTTGGTGAAGATCAAAATGAAATGGTTCAAATCAGCAGGAACAGGGAAGCGAAATAAACACGACAATGAAAGATGGGGAAAATGAATCAATACCAGCTGCCCAGAATGTTGCTGCTGCAGGACCTCTCGTTTGTAATCCTTGATGGACACCAAGCTGAGCTTGTCCTCAGCCTCAGCCAACCAGTTGAGCACCTCCACTTCGTCCTCCCCAAAGAGCCGGGCATTGGACAAAGCCTGATCGAGGAGGGCAGCCTTGCGGCCGCATCGGTCAGAAACCTCAGCGTAGCGGGACTCAAGCAGGTCGAGCTTCTCGGCCAGGGAGGCCTGCTCAGCACGGCAGCTTAGCAAGGCCAGGGAGTGGCCAATGCTGACCACCTGAGTCACCGCCGCGGCCTGATTGTCTATCTCCTCCTCTAGTGCCTGGAAATCCAGGAGGTTTAAGGGAAAGAACAAAAGAGGGGAAAAACAAGCAAACAGAAATATATGGTTGAAAATGGAATACACAAAGGGGGAAAATTAAAACACAACTGAATGGTGAATATGACTGAAAATTATGTAAATGCAAAAATATCATTTACTAAATTAACAGTTTCAAATAAACAACTATAACAAAAACAAAAAAAAGATGAATTTTATTTTTCCTGTATCTATATAAATATGGAGACAGAATATACTGCAACTTTTTTAACTGCTCGAACATGATTACTAGCTTGTTTTGCAAATGGCAGTAATTCAGCATTTTAAACCATGGTTTGTTGACTAAGCTACCTCAGCCCAGCGTGTATTTAATGCTGAGAAATAATGGGTGAGGCCGTGCTAACCTGGTTACTCAATCAATCATTCACTGAATCAATCATGTTATGGCTTCGCATTATGCCTGGATCAGGCTGACTTCTAACACTGCCTTCCACACTGGAAGGGTGCATATGCCAGACTCCTCTTCAAATCTCCACTCTGGGCATCTGCCCGTCTTCCCCACTGACGCCAGTGAGATCTTGCTCAGATTACGTGATGGCAGGACAGGCCCACAGGCAATATTTCTATGAATGCCCACAGAACATCAGGATTCTACAGAACACGCTTGAAGAAAAGCTGCCCTGGAACCTTCGCAGCAACAGAACCTGTGCCTGCTGCCCTTCCACCCCTTTCCAAACAACTTAGCAACCACTCGCCCACCTTGTGCCGCACAATCTGCTGCTGGATTTTGGCAGTCTGAGTCCCAAGGGGCTCAGAATTGGCCAGTTTCTTGTCAGTCGCCGACAACCACTCAGAGATGGGCTCTGATGTCTCGTGGAACTGTTTGGCCAAAACCAGGACCTCCTCCAGCTGACTCTGCCTGCGAAAAGGAAGCAAAACCATGCAGAAATCAACCTCTGTGAGACAATGGAAGATTCCTGGTGAGGCTCACTGAGAGCTGTGAACAATTACAGCTGCTCCACATATTCCATTATGCCCCATTGCAGCTCCCTAATCTGGCCAAGAAACCACATGAAGCCACGATGTATGCTGGCCCAGCACAACACCTGAACCGGGGGAGCAGATTAAATTATGGGAAAGACAGAGCATCTTGATGTCAAATACTGGAATACTGCTATCATGTCGCCCCTGTTTTTTCTTTTCTTTAGACTAATCAAACCCAAGTCCTGCAGCCGTTCTTCATATGTTTTAGTTTCCAGGCCTTGGATCATCTTAGTTGCTCTTCTCTGAACTTTTTCCAAGGTCTCAACATCTTTTTTGTAGTATGGTGAACAAAATTGGTTGCAGTATTCCAGGTGTGGTCTCACTAGGGTTTTATAAAGCGGTATTAATATACTTAGTGTGATCTTGATTCTATACCTCTTTTTATGCAACCCCAAGGTCCCTCTCACAGTTACTGTTTTTGAGTCAGGTCTCGCCCAATCTGTACTTGTACCTTTGATTTTTCCTGCCTAAATGTAAAACTTTGCTTTTCTCCACACTGAAACTCATTTTGTAGGATAGGACCCATTGTTCCAGTTTGTCAAGATCTTTTTGGATCCTGAGTTTGTCTTCTGGGGTGTTGGCTACTCCTGCCAGTTTGGTGTCATCTGCAAATTTGGCGAGTTCCCCTTCTATTCCCTTATCTAAATCATTGATGAAGATATTGAAGAGAACTGGGCCTAAGACAGAGCCTTTTGGTACCCCACCGCTTCCTTCTCTCCATGTGGATGTAGTACCATTAAGGACTACTCGTTGAGTACGGTTTCTCAGCCAGCTACAAATCCATCTGGTGGTGATGTTGTCTATTCTTGATAAGCTATTTTTTCTAGCTTACCAAGCAGCAGATTGTGGTCTACTTTGTCACATGCCTTACTGAAATCTAAGTATACTATGTCCACAGCGTTTCACTGGTCTACTAATTTGGTCACTTTATCAAAGAATGAAATAAGATTGGTTTGGCATGATCTGTTTTTAACAAACCTGTGCTGGCTACTAGTTATAACTTTGTTTGCTTCTAATTGTTCGCAGATGTTTTTTGATTATCTTTTCCAGATCTTCCCAGGTATTGATGTTAGACTGATTGGTCTGTAGTTTCCTGGGTCTGTTTTTTTTCCTTTCATGAAGATGGGAACCACATCAGCTCTTTTCCAATCCTCAGGTACCTCCCCGTGCTCCAGAATTTTTGAAAGATATGGTGCAATGGTTCTGAGATAACATCTGCCAGCTCCTTCAGAACTCAGGGATGTAAACCATATGTGGTGGGAATGCCCAAAGACTCGCGAGTATTGGAACAGGACACGAAACTGGCTGAGGGATATACTAACACTGGACTTAGAGTTAAAACCTGAACTCTTCTTGCTGGGAATAACGACAGAAAAATATGATAAGGGAACAATCTATCTGCTGCTACATATCTTGACAGCAGCCAGGCTTGCCTTTGCGCAAAAATGGAAGAGTAAGGAAATTCCCACAGAGGAAGAGTTAATACATAAAATATTAGCATGTGCAGAAATGGACAGGCTCACAATGATACTAAAAGATAAATGTGGATCAATTTTTTTTGAAACCTGGGATAAATTTTACCGTTGGAGGAATTTGAAAAGGACGGCTGGGATTAAAGACGAATGTTAAGATAGAAATGTATGTCACTTTAGAATAGATAATGTATATAAAATGTAATGTATATGTAGAGATAATGAATTTATTGTAAAATATGGTATAATCTGATAAGAATGTATATACTGGAATGTCACGTCAAATCCAATGTTTTTTTTTAATTGTTTTATAAATAAAATTTAAAAAAAAAAAAAAAGAACTCAGGGATGTAATCTGTCGGGTCCCGGTGATTTATATTTGTCAAGGTCGGATAGGTGTTCTCTTACCATTTTCTTGCTTATTTTAATTTTTGTTTCTAGTTTGTCTTTTGCAGTATTTGGGGGGGGGTATGTTGTGCTTTAATTTCTTTTTGTGTGAAGACTGATGCAAAGAATGAGCAGCTCTGCTTTCTCCCTATTGCTTGTTACTTCCTTGCTATCTTCTTCTTTAGTGGACCTACAGTTTTCTTGGCTTTTTTCTTGTTAATATGTTGAAAATGCCAACTATGTCATACCCACCCTCTTGTGATCACTTTATAGGTCAGTACTATTAGGCCCCTTGGCTGGGTGGGTAAGCAAGAAAATGCAAAAATATATTTCCAAGAATGAACTGGGTTATTGTACAAAAGCTAAAGAAGCCAGCGGCTGCTAAGAAATGCCAGGCCTATTCATAGCAAAATCAAGGTGCTGTTTCTTGCACCTCCGCCCAACGTAAAGCAAAGAGATTGTCCTTTTCAGCTGGAAGCAACAATCTACACCTGCCTCTTGTTTTAGTAACTGACGTGTCTGATGTCAGGCTGTTTGCTTGTGACAGTAGCACAGAAACCTTATGCAAAAGTCAAGCCTGTTGGGTGAACTAAACAGAAAGACACATCTAACTCCTTATACTGCATATGGCTTAAAAGTTGGTAGGAAATGCAAGCAGGGAACAGGCTCTGCTGAAGGTCCCTTTCCGCGGATATTGCACAGAGTGGATCTCTGGAGTCCTCGGAGTGGGTAAGTCCTCTGGATTCTACACACCCGAGCTGCAGTGGGAGCTTTTCATCTCCCTTTCTGGGAAGGGAGAAAAGAAAGGTGGGAGTTCTCTAGAAGGAATGGGCATCCTTCAACCTTTTCTTTCTAGGTGAATCTCCCTGCCCTGGTTTCACATAACAAGCAAGGAAGTGTTTTGTTTATGTTTGATATAACGTACTATTCAAGGCAAAGCTTTTGCCCTCAATGCCAAGCAAAATAGACGCAAAGCAAGATGGCAAATTCTGAGTAGCATGATAGATGTCCCCGCAGGCCGAGATCCACTGAGGGGTTCTTCTCACGGTCTCACTGAAGTAAACCAGAATAACTGTTATAAAAAAGCAGGTTTCGATCTCACTTGCTACACTCAGCTGCAACATTTCACAGTGGGGGAAGAAGTGTGACCAAGAAATCCAAGGAGATTTTGCTGAACATCAGAATTAAAAGCATCCTTGCAAATTCACCAAGAGTTGTGCAGAGGTCTTGCACTAACAAAATAGCAGAGACCGCAGGAGAAAAATAAAATCCGTGCATGCTGCAGAGGATGACGGTAGAACAAGGAGCAACTGACGGTATCCCGCGTTTCCAATCTTGGCTTACCTGGCTGAAGCTTTGCTGAGAAGGCTGGCCCAGTGGCTTCCGAGGCTATTCAACTGGCCGGTGATTTTCTCCCTGTCTGCTGGTTCAGCTGACCGGGCAATTCTGCCACCCTCTGCTTGGATCATCTCAACAGTAGCTTTCCGATCATCCAGGAGACGTTGCAGCAACTTTGCAGAAGGTCAAGAGAACGAGCATTTACCAATTTCTTCCACTTGCACAACTAATGCACTTATCATCATAGTAGCTTATGTTATACTTTTATTATAGGGACTCCTTGCTATGTTGGTATTTTATCTCATCCACTTTATTTACATATTGTATATTTTTAAATTCTGCTTGTTACTGACCAAATAAATATTATACTACACCCATTTTTTTTGCAGGATTTCACCTTTTGCCAAATCTCCCAGCTACAGGAAATGTGGAATGCCAATCACATTCCCCTCCTACCACTATATCAATAGTTGCATTGCTTTAAATCTGCTCCCCAGCTGCTGCCCATCTGTTCTGAAGTCTCCGTTCTCACCACCACAAAGCTACCTTTTGCATGCCCCAAAATCACTGCTCCCAGTGGAAGTTGTGTTGTGTTTGTCCTTCACCTGGCGGCCTCCCATGCTGAGAGCTTGTCCACTGCCTGACTTGCAGCTTTGATATTTTGCAAAGTTGGCATCTCTCACCTGCTCTTCTTCCTTCCCTCCTTCCTCCTTCAGCACAGCGAAGAGGGATGCATAGCAAGCAGGGAGCATGAGGAGGATCCCTGCTCACTGGGGCTAGTGGGCTGACCAATGGTGCTTAGGGCCGGCAGGGCCAGCCCATTCCCCCCCCCCCCATTTCTGCTCACCTTCTGCTCCTGGATCTGAGCCTTCACCACTTTGTATTCTGTCGATGGTGGCTTCTGGTTGGAGATGAGCTCCTCAGTGTCAGCCAGCCAGCTGAGCAAAGGCTCCAGGGCATCCTGGAACTTCCCACAGTGGAGCAAGGCTTCCTGCAGTTGGGCAATCCTCTGGGCCACCTGCGTTTTGACAAAACATGCACGCCCATCACTGGAGTGGCTGCCCTTGCTAGACAGAGCCTCTTTCAGCCAAAAGCAGCTCTTTAAACTAGCTTCATCCTCACGCTCCCCTTGTAAACAGGAGAGCATTTTCCTTTTGCTCACAGGAAGCAAGGCACCCAATTAAATGGGATTTCATTGGCTTACATCTTCCTTGTTTAGTTGCTTCTCTCCTCCTTTCTCTTTCTTGCTTGGCAACCCCCTCCCCAAAGTATCCATTGAAGGCTCCTTGGGACAGGAAGTCCTTTTTTTTTAGCATCCTCCTCCAAACAGAGCTGAGAACTGCCCCCCCCCGGAGTCTGTTGGAGGGTGGGGGGGCGGGGGAGACATATTTGCTAGTCCCCTGATTTCCACTATGACCAGTGGCCAGAGCAGGGATGCAGCCAAGCAGAGAAATGAATGGATACGTTTATTATGGTCACTGACTAGAATTGCGAACAAGTACAATAAAAATAAAGTAAAAATGAAACAAGAGAAAAAAACTACAATTGGTGGTGGGTTTCTCAGTGGATTCTCAGCAGAGACACGTGGGCTCAGTTCTCAGCTGTTACTAAGGATTTATCGGCATTTATAGCCAGGCACTCCCAACCCAGAGGGCCTCCTCTGTCTGCAGATGGACACCTCGAGCACCGAGTTCATGGCCCAGAGAGAGCCAGAGACTTTGCAGACGAGGACCCTTGGTGGGTGCTGCTCGGCAAGCAGCTCCGTCCCATCCCCGCGGACCATCCGCAGGCTGTTCTCCAACGGAGCCCAGCCCCCTTTCCACCAGGGAGCCCGTAGCGTCTGGAGGTGAGTCTGGGCCTCAGGGTCCCATCCTGCTCATGCCAGGAAGGGCCCAGGCAGCACTTGCCTTTTTGTTGAGGGTGTTCCACCGGGTGTGGATCTCCTCCATGTCATTCTCCAAGCCCTGGACATCACAGTTCTTCCCCGCACTCTGGACCAGCCCTTGTCCAAGCCTGTTGACTTGCTGCAGCTTTAACTGAAGGGGGTCAACTTGCTCCTTCTGGAATTGCTGAGAAGATGGGAGAGGGAAGAAGGCAAATGAATCCCATGATAAATCTTTGCAAAAACTGTACACGATTAAGGACTCGGGCTAAGGTGCCCTTTCTCTGGCTGCTAATTTCATCCTTAATCAGCCTGTGAGGTTTTTTAAAGAAAGGGGGGAGATTCTCTTTCAAGTGAACTTCATAGCTCTGGTAGTTTTGGAAGAGTTTGAATCCAGATCTCCCGAGTCTAAATCTAACATTCTACCATTAAACCATGCAACCAATAAGCATCGGTGGGAGCTGCTGGCCAACATCTTCTCCCTCCAGCATTTAAACTTTAATCTGCAGTCTGCGAACAAAAATCAACAGATCCTGTATCTGACTAATCAAGGAAGCTTGAAAAAGTAACACAATAGGTTTGATGTTGGAACGTAAAGATGTTTGTGGAGCAGATTTCACATATGGAGAAAGGACTCAATGCAGTGAAATCCAAAAGAAGCTCAGTGACCTAACATCAACAGGATCTCTGGTTCTATCCAGTTAGGATGGGTGCTACAGTCTTAATGCCAAAAACACACCTGGAAAGTCCAGGGCACAGACTGTATTTCTTGCACAAGCATTCCCTTCCCCCCAGGCACAGGTTAGTAGTTCTCTGTTCTACACTACTTTATTCCTCTACCCCAGAAGTCCCCAACCTTTTGGGAACCAGGCATGTCTCCTTCTGTGACGCTTTGTTGCAGAGTACCGTAATCATTTTGGAAAAACAAGATTTTAACAGCATCTTTGGGGATGGGATATTTGAACTTCTTACATCAGGTTCTGGGCTATCTCTGAAGGTCTCAATGAACACAAAGGGTTTTTAACACATCATAACTGTTAACTGATAAAGTGCTTATGCTCTGTCTCACAGGTTACCTGCATATACATCATCATCCTGACTTCTGGCTCTCCCCCCACCACAAACATCTCCCAACCAATTTAAATCCTGCTTCTGTGGAGCCATTGCTTGGGGGAAGGGAGAGGTCTCTCATGAAAGCTCCTGTTTTTTTTTAATAAAACGGGTTAGTTTGAAAAGGTGTTAGCGAGCTCCTACATTTTGCCCTACAGAAATTTGTGGCCTTTCAAAATGATCACAACAACATAGGCCAGTACAACAAGCGTAGCCATATTAAAAGTCTGGGCTCCAGGGCTGTCCTCAGTTTAAAAAAAAATTATATGGTTTTACGATTTATGTTTTTAAACACCGTTTTGCATGATATTTTTCATTTTAAAGTGTAAGCTACACAGAGTGGTCTGAGCAGCCTCTAAATTGAGCAAAACGAACCAATAAAAAATTTGAGTGGCCCTGGACTAAATCATAGGATGGCACTTTGCTCCCGAGAGATAAGCCTGCTCAACACCCCCCACCCCACCCCACCCCTTTCAGCCGCCGCCTCTCTTGCAAGGCTGTGATGAAGACGTTGGGGTGCCAGATGGGGAGGGGGGACAAGCCCCACAGCCCTCGGAGGAACCCAGAACCCTCCTGAACAGTGTTTCTCAACTTTAAGCAACAGCTTCAAAATGTTCAAAAGTATCAAAAATAATGAAAAATCTTCTTTCAACATGTAAAATACAAGAAAAGTCAAGGAGACGATTGGTCCACCAATGGAAGACGAAGGTAAGGGAGGGACAGGCAGCAGGAAGAACTCGTTCATGCAAAAGGAAAAAACAGCCCACACTACCAGAAGCAGAATTGTAAAAGACAGACTAGGAATACAAGTCAAAATAAGTAAGAGAACGGTAAGCTAACATCTGCCCACTCTAGATGAGTTAATTAATCAGTGGAATGGGTTGCATTCAAAAGTTGTAGGTGGACCATCAATGGAGGTTTTTAAGTCAAGATTGGACAGCCATTTGTCCAGAATGGTATAGGGTCTCCTGCTTGAGCAGGGGGGTTGGACTAGAAAACCTCCAAAGTCCCTTCCGACTGTGTTATTTTGTTAAGATATATATATTTGAGTAAGGCCACACCTGGAATACTGCATCCAGTTTTGGTCATCACATTACAAAAGATGTTGAGACTTTGGAAAAAGTGCAAAGAAGAGCAACTAAGATGATTAAAAGCCTGGAGACTAAAACATATGAAGAATGGTTGCAGGATTTGGATATGGCCAGTCTAGAGAAAAGAAGGATTAAGGTGGACATGATAGCAGTATTCCAGTATTTGAAAAGTTGCCACAAAAGAGGAGGGGATCAACTTATTCTCCAAAGCACCAGAAGGCAAGACAAGAATGGATGGAAACTAATCAAGGAGAGAAGCAACCTGGAATTAAGGAGAAACTTCCTAACAGTGGGGACAATTAACCGGTGGAATTGCTTGCCGTCAGAAGTTGTGGGTGCTTCATCACTGGAGGTTTTTAAGAAGAGACTGGACAGCCATTTGTCTGAAATGGTGTAGAGTCTCCTGCTTGAGCAGTGGGTTGGACTAGAAGACCTCCACAATCCCTTCCAGCTCTATTCTGATTGATTGATTGATTGATTGATTGATTGATTGATTGATTGACTAACTCCCAGAATTTTCCAGCCAAAATGGCTGGCTGGGGAATTCTGGAAGTTGCTTAGTTGAGAAACACTGGCCTGGAGGAAGAGGGTGAAATCTCGCAAGATTGTCTGAAACACCCCAAGGCCAGTGGTCTCTCTCGTCCTTCAAGGCCAACAAGGGCTGGAGGTCTCCTCTGGGATTCAGACACAATTTAAGACTCTATTGGGGGCTGAAGCCAGGATGTTCTGTGAACAAAGGCCTGTTGCTGAGTTGCAGTCCTGCTTCTGATCAAAAGCAGGGTTGTTGCTCAGAGACAGAACTGAGAGACTTCTCTGCTCCCAAATAGCCCTAAGCAAATAAAGAATCAGAATGAGGACGAGTTTAAGCCTTCCAGTCAGCTAAACGCTTAGCAGCTGCTTTGAAACAATATGATGTCCAAGTGGTCTGTATAAAGGACCAAGTTTTGCTGCAGAGCTAGTGAGCAACTGGACGCTTCCAGGGCTCTCCATGGAGAAGAAAAGGAATTAGCCCTGGCTTATCACAATCAGCAATTTGTCTCCAGAAATGGGAATATGCCAAGATATTAAATGAAGATGCTGTCCAGAGCCACGGAGCTATCCTGCAGCTAGCAGAGTTGATGACAATGCAAGAGCAGACAGCTTCCCAGCCTCTTCTGTGCAAAAAGCTTACTATAGAATGTCTAATATTACATCGATTAATTGCCTGCAAGAGCCCCAGACTGGTAAGCCAAATGCACGAGTCCTTCCTACACCCTCCGGGATAATCTGAAATGCAAACTTATTTTTAAACAAGAGAGGACTTTGAAGCTTTTCACTTGGGGCAAGCAGAACACCCACATCACACCCAGCCCAACCCCTAGTGGAAACCAGGAACAGCTGCTGGATATGGAGGGCAACATCTGCAAAGCAGGCAGGTTCAGCGGGGAAGTTTAAACAAGCAAATCAAATTTAACAACCGCCCCAACAGAAAATACTTGGAAGCACCGCTTGGTGCTTCAAATAGAGAATGCACAGAAAATTCCAGAGTGTTGGATCGCCACCTTCAGCCTGAAACGGAGTTTCAATCTTGTCTTTGATACAGACAAATAGAAGAAGGCAGAGGCTGAGAACTAAACAGTGTGAGTAATGGGAGTGTGGGTAATGGAAGAAGGGTCAAGGTGTCTTTCCACAGGAGGCCATGTGTCGACACAGACCTCAAACTTGGCAGGGGATGTTGAAGCAGTGCAGAGTCTGATCACCTTGCTTCATTTTCATGTGCAGGATCCAAATTCAAATCTTATTCAGGTGAGTTGGAATCAGGCAAATTATTATCTCTGAGTACAATTGAGATGACTGTGGCAACCACAAAAAAGCTCCCTTGCCTTCGAAGGCTGGAAATGAAAGGAGAGGGGAACAACGGAAACATATAATGACCTTGAATTAAATCTGCTCCCCTCCATACCGCTTGACTGGGGGCTTCTTGTCCCTCTTGGCAGAAACACCAGATCAGCCACGTCAACAGGGAACATTTTTCACAAGCTTCCAAATTGTCTGCCTCTTGTGCAAAGATGCCTCCCAATTTGGGATACTGGGAGACAAAGGTTTTTTTGTGCCCAATTACCCTCTCCTTCTTTCCCTTCTGAACAAGGGAAGGGGAAAGAATCTGGCTAATAATTCACATTCTCTGGTCTGGCCTGCAGCCCCTCCTGTTTCCTACTTGCAGGCTGGAATTGAACATTTTGGCTGCAGGATGCTGTAACAGACACAAACTCAGTCCCATCACAGCCCAGAGTTGGGGAGACCATTCTCCTCATTTAGATTTCAAAATAGTTTCTCAAACTTCTGGCTGGTTTTACTTTTTTGTTTTGGGAAATGCACAACCATTTGAAGTGTGTGAAACTGCATCCAAGTCAGCTTCAATATAAGAAAAACAAAAAAACACAATGGTTACAAAACTAGCTTAGTTTGGTTGGTAACAATCAAAGTCAGTATCCACAGGAAAAAAAGCTGTTTTGTAGAAGAAATATTGATACAAATAGACTTTACATAAAAGTCATTCCTGTCCCCAGTTGTTATGATACAGAGAGGGAGATTTTAAAAGATTTAAGGAAACATTTCCAGTTACTTCTCTTCTTTTCCATGAAGGGGGGGGGCTGCCTTTGTTATTTAAAGTAGACTTCTGTGCCAAAGCTTAATTTGCCTTACATCATTTTGCTCTTAGCAACCCGTTCTTTCAGTTACTACCTCTGCAGTTATGCATGCTCCCTCACAAGTGTTCTGCAGAAAATGCAAGATTCACTCCTTAAACAAGTATTTTATGGAAACCTCAAGCCACTCAACTGTGAAGGCCATTCAGTATGACTACAGAACCCAACTGCCATTCCAAAGATCTTCAGCTATACTGTAATAGGATAGAGGAGTTAAATAGACATTCTTTTGTCCATCATAAATGTTATCAGTCAGTCAATTGACTATGGATTAACTCCTCCTCAACTCCAAATAAAGT